TCGCCACGGGGCAGTTTGGTCACCTCGGCAGAGGGCCTGAAGGCCGGCTGCTGTTTGGGCTGTTTGCAGGGAATCCAGTCATGGCTGGAAGCTTTTCACTGCCGACCCCCACCTGCAATATGTGGAAATTGGGTTCCTGAAACCAGGACCCGGCTTCTGGAGCCGATTTGGGCCGGGCAGCCCTCCTGGCAGCTGCCTTGAGCAGCAGGAGCAGCACCGAAGGCTCTCTGCCCTCATCCACAGCACAGGCTCTGCCCAGAGAGGAGGGCTCGGGGTCGGGCAGGGGTGGGGATCACTGTGCCGGGTGTTTGCCGTGTCCCTGGGCTCTGGGACAGCCCCGGGTCTCCCCTGCAGAAAGCTCTGGAGAGCAGAGAGGACTTTGGCACCTCCCCATCACCCGGCACCTCCCCAGCCGCCTCTGCCCCCGCCAAGGTTAGCCAAGCCCCGGCTGCAGACAGAAGGAGCTGAACTTGTTTGTGGTTTCTGAAAGACAAACCCGAGCCAAACAAAGTCAGAAATCCCAGAAAGAGTCCTTAGGCTGCTCCTTCTCCTGATGCTGCTTTGCCACATGGGGCAGGAGCTTTGGCAGGGCCTGAGCTGGCTGAATTCGGAGGGACCCGGTATATGGGGCACTGGGGGCTGGGGGCTGCCAGAGAATCCCCCACACTTGGCAAAGGCACCACTCAAAGTCGGGCTGACAGCAGGTCCCCCTGCTGGGATGCCTGAGCTCTGTCCGTGCTCACTGCTGTGGTTTGGGAAGGATTGGGTGTGGGGCTGAGCCACCTGCAGCTGCAGCAGCAGCAGGGTTGTCCCCACCCGTGCAGCAGCAGCAGCAGCAGGGCTGTCCCCACCCGTGCAGCAGCAGCAGCAGGGCTGTCCCCACCCGTGCAGCAGCAGCAGCAGGGCTGTCCCCACCCGTGCAGCAGCAGCAGCAGCAGCAGGGCTGTCCCCACCCGTGCAGCAGCAGCAGGGCTGTCCGCACCTGTGCAGCAGCAGCAGCAGCAGGGCTGTCCCCACCCGTGCAGCAGCAGCAGCAGCAGCAGCAGCAGCAGGGCTGTCCCCACCTGAGCAGCAGCAGCAGCAGCAGGGCTGTCCCCACCCGTGCAGCAGCAGCAGCAGCAGCAGCAGGGCTGTCCCCACCCCGCTCGCTGGCTCAGGGTGGGCAGCTCCAGCTCCAGCCCCACGGCGTGTCCGAGCTATCACCGCTGGCACTGCTGGGCTCTGCCGGGGCTGCCCCAGCCTCTGCTTTTCTTCCAGGCCCTGAAGCCTCTTGGCGAGCTGTGTTTGTGTTTGGAGGAGCCAGGGCAAGGGTGTGCAGAGCCCGGAGCGCCGCTCGGGCAGGGCCGGTGCCCGGGGCAGGATGTGCCCTGAGCTCCAGCCGGCCGGACGGGTCTGTGTTTATGGCCCAAGCAGAGTGAACCGGGATTAATCAGCCAACCCGGGAGGGCAGGCTATGTTGGGTTTGAAATTCTTTAGTGCTTGTAGTAACTCAGGTGAGTCTCTTTGTTCTTGTGAGCTGTAATTTTTCATTTGACAGGCAGTGGCCTGTGACAAAAGAGCCAAACAGCCACATCCAAACACACCCAGCCCTGGGATGTGGCACCAAGCCCCTCCACCTGCCCCTGTCCCACTCCCAGGTGACAATTTCCCCAGCACAGCCAGCTCCAGGGGCAGTTTGGCCGCACCTGTGTGGTCAGGGCTCAATGCCAAGGACAAAGGATGCTGACCCATTGACCCCCTCCCGTGGGACAGCTCGGGGCCCTACCAGCCTCGGGACACCGTGTGTCCCTGTCCCCTCTGCCCAGGGCCCAGCCCAGTCTCCATCTCGAGGTGCGTGCTGTGCTCTGCTCCCCTCTCCCAGGGTTCCCGCAGGGATTACAGAGCGCAGCGCTACCACGGGACAGAGGACTCGGCTCCTCCCTGCTCCCCTTCCCCCCGGCGGCAGCGGCAGGCAGGAGGATGTGGCAGCTCAGGCTGAGGCTAAAGAGGCTTACAGTGACTATTTACCTTCGCGAGGGGCTATTTTGGGCTCTCGGCTGCCGCTAATGCGGCGCTCAGGGCAGCACTGAGGGGACGCCACGTGAGGGTCCCTGCTCCTGGGACCCACGTTCCTCTCTGTAGGGAACGAAGCTTGGCTGCTTTTTTGTTATTGGGGTTTTTTTTTTTTTCAGATGGCAAAGAGTGTCACAAAGGAAAATCTTGGGGATGGGTCAGAAGGAATGAAATGCACTGCCCTGTCCAAGGTGGGACTCGTGGCCAGCCTTGCACTGCAGGGAAGTCCCAAGGCTGCTTTCAATGCTATCCTAGGCACTGCCAGAGGCCTCCAGGTTGGTTTCACTGACCCTGTCTCCCCCCAGACAAGCTCAGATGGTTGTGGAGCTCCAGTGTGAGTTAAATAATGGCATCACAAGTGAATGGACAGGCTGAGACTGGAATTGGGTCACTGGGATGAGAGTGCTGATGATCCTTGGGGATCAGCTCCATCCCTTTGTGTCCCCAACTAGGGCAAAGTGGGGTCAGTGCGTGCCAGGGCCATGGGGAGCTCCAGTGGGGAGCACAGGGACAGACACCTGAAGTCTCCTGTTGGCAGAGGGACGCCCAGGGGACACCAGGCATGGCAGAGTGCACAAGGGTGGTAAATGGTCCCAAGGATGCACAGCCAGAGCTGAGCCCTGCTTCAAACAGAACCCAGCTCATTCCACACGCTGGAAAGCTGCAGTGCAGAGTCTTTAACTAAAGGAATCCTGAGTGATTTCCACATTGCTGAATGACATTTTAATAGTGGAAAAATAACACTCCAAATTATCTACTTCATCTCTTCCTATTGTCTTTTACTGGCTGGGAATGAGTGCTGCAGCAAAACCAGCTCTGGCCCTTCTGGGAGGGGTTTGCTGCTGCCTCCCAGCCCATGGCAGGCAGTGAGGAGGCCAGGAGGGGCTGCTCCCCTGTGCCCAGCACCCCGTGAGCCCAGGAGGGGCTGCCCCTGTGCCCAGTCCTCCAGGGCTGGCAGGGCTGCCCACACCTCGCAGTGCTAGAAGGGGGCTCTGGCTGCTCAGGCACCAGGAGCAGCCATGGTGCTGCCAAGGCCTCAGGGCCATGCCCGTGCGACATGGGGCTGGCAGGTGGCAGAAGGCAGTGTCTGCCTCGTGCTGTCCCCCTGGGGAGCTGGCACCTGTCCCTGTGCCACCGAGTCGCTCTGCAGGAAGATGCTTCTGGCATTTTCTGCTGTGTGCTTCTTCTGACCTGAATTCAGCCACTGCCACTTGGAGCCTCCATGTGGATGGAGGCACCGAGTGCTGCCACAGGTGCCCAGGAGCAGAGCCTGGGGACAGCAATGCAGCCCTGGCACCCAGCACATCTCTGAGTGGCTGCAAAAAGGGCAGCTCAAGCTGGGGGACGGTGTCTGCTGTCCCCAGCCTGCACAGCAAAGGACACACAAAAGCCTCACACCAACTTTTATTATCACTGACACATAAATCTCCACAAACTCCCTGCTCAGAGGAGAGCAGCCCCAGCCCTTACACGAGGTGCCCCTTGCCAAAGCTCAGCTCAGCCCTGCAGCCTCGGTGCCCCACAGCCAGGCCGGCTCAGAGCTGTGCCATTCCCAGTGGTTTTCCCACTGCTCCCATCCAGGGGAAGGTTTCCATCCTCTGGATTGAAGGCACACAAATCAGGAGCTGACCTGTCCTTCTGCCACTCAGCAGCCAGCCCTTGGCACGCTGCCTTCAGTGGGTCAAGGCTCCTTCCACTCAGGAATGCCGCATGCTCTTGGCAGGTGCTGGGTCACTCCAGCAGGAATGTGGCTCCAGGACAGCTGTGGGTAAGGCTTTGCAGAAGGATTTTGAGAGAAATGTGCTTGTCAGGTGCAGGAACCCACCGAGCTCTGCCCGAGGACACAGTGGTTCCACACGTGCGGCTGAGGGCACAGACACTCCTGAGAGGCAGGGCTGGGAGTGAGCCTGCCCAGGACAGCTCTGGGGGCAGCAGTGTGGAGGGAGGGACAGGGAGCAGAGCAGGACGGCCAGGGAAGGCTGCAGAGGGATGCAGGGAGGCACAGCCCGCTGCCACCTCGGCTCCTTTTCCGCGCCCACAAGAAAACTGCTCCCCTGGCTCCGTTTGGCACAAACGCTGGCTCAGGACACGCCTTTGGAGGCCACGGAATTTGGTAAGAACCTTTGGCAACAGGGCTCAGGGCCCCAGCTCCACTTCTGGCAGGCAAAATTTATAGCAGACATGGGGAGAAACACTGTCCTTTCAAAAACACCCCGAGGGAAACCTTTATCAGACAGAGCTCAGCAAAAACCACTGCAACAAGGCAAGTTTCATTTTCACTTTGGGATGTGGATCAGGGAGCACCCCTGGCACTGACTGAAGGGCCTAAAACCCACAGGGGGTGTATGTGCCACAGGCTGTGGCAGTGACAGGCAAGGACAGTAAATATTCAGTAATTGAGGAGAGCCAAAGGAAACACAATGGGAAACATACTGGAAGCAACAGACTAAAGTATTAAAGTCTGCAGCTGTCAGCATAAAGAAACAGCTTTGCTGTAATGTCAGAGAATCACAGAATGGTTTGGGTTGGAAGGGACCTTAAAGCTCATCCCACTCCCACCTCTGCCATGGGTAGGGACACCTTCCACTGTCCCAGGTTAATCCAAGCCCTGTCCCAGGTTGATCCAAGCCCTGTCCAACCTGGCCTTGGGCACTTCCAGGGATCCAGGGACAGCCCCAGCTGCTCTGGGCACCCTGTGCCAGGGCCTCAGCTACCTCCCAGGGAAGAATTCCTTCCCAAAATCACATGAAGAAGGACATTTTGGGCAGTGTCTGTGAAATACCTTGACTCAGAGCAGCTGTGCTCTGAGACCTGGGGCAGTCCATTTTTTACAAAAACGGAAAAAAATCATGCCAGCCAGTGTATCCTATAAAACCAGAAAAGGCCAGAGACAAGACTTCGAGGTGACTGGTCCTTCCTTGCTGACAAAGCAGACACCTGCCCTGCAATCCCAATGGTCTGCAGTTTTATTTTTGGCAGATTATAATTAAAATGGCTTTTATGGCTTTAAAAAGAAGCCACGAAGCTGCACGTTTTGGTTGAAGCAGAGAGGTGTGCTCTGGGTGAGGGGACAGTGGCCTTGGCTCTGCTCCTGCCACCTGCCCACCAACACTTCTGGGCAGCCTTGGCTCCCCGGAGTGTTCTTGTTTCTCACCAGCAAGTAAGAATGTTCTGGTTGCTAACCAGTCCAGTCCCACAGGCAGAATAAAAAGTCCTTGTTAAAACCTAGAAAAGCTGGTTTCTAACAAAATCAAATCCAAACACACTTCCTGGGTCGATGCCTTTCTCTCAGGTTCCATCACCCATGCAACGGAACTTCCCCTACAGAGCAATTTAATTCCTCTTCCATTCCACACCTCCCAGTCTTCTCAGGAGCCTTGACAAGCTATTCCTCCATTCCTTTCTTTAACATTTTTTCCTATGCACATCCTTCCTGCCCTTCCCTTCCGTCGCACCCTGTTCCTCTCAGCTATTTTCGGAAGGCAAAGACATCCCGTGTTTTCAGGCCTCTCTTGCCTTCACTTCCTGCTTTAGGAGAAGACACTTCCACCAGCCCCCCGTATGGGCAGCTCTCGGACTCCGGGTGGTGGCCAGAGCACTCCACAGCAGGGATGAAGCCGCTGTCCCACATGCCTGTCCCACACAGCTTGCAGAGGTCGTGCAGGCTGCAGGGGATGCGGGGCAGCAGGTGGAACTGATAGAGCAGACTCCTGGCCTGGAGGGAGAGAGAGGGAAAACAGTCACTCCTCACCAGGGACCAGCATGGAGGGCTGGGGTGAACTCCACTCCTCCTCTTTGGCTGCCTGGGCTTCAGCAAACAGCTTCCTGCCAAACACCTGAGGGTTACCTGAGGCACTGGGGGCAGTGGCAGGTCACAGGGGCTGCCACACACCACAGCTCATCCCATGGCCCCAGTCGCTGCCAGCTGAAAGGAACGGGCACCATGGCACCACAGCTCTGTCTCCATTTCCCTGAGCAGGTTATCCAAACAAGGGTTATCCCAACGACACTGCCACCTCCCAAGCACTCAACAACTACCGCCTCCTCCTGCAAATCTTGTTTCCAGGCAAACAGCAGCATCCCACCCAGGCAGCCACGGGGATACAGGAGATGCAAAGCTGAAGCAGCAGTCCCTGGGTTTCTGAATACTCTGACTCATCTCTGGACCTTGTCCCACACGGGCACCTGGGCATTTACCTTCCTGAGTACGAGCTCCCCGTTCATGTGCATGGCCAGGTTGCTGAAATGCAGCAGCATCTGGTCAGTGGCCAGCTGCTGCTCGATGACGTCGTCCCCATAAATCACCACGATGGCCACGCAGATGAAGAGGTGGAAATAGTCTGTCTGGAATGGGAACACAGGGGCTGCAGGTGGAGGCAGAGCTCCAGAGCTTTGGCTCCACCTCCCACCCTCCACAAGCAGGTCCTTGGTGAGAGATTTTGCTCCCTTCAGTTCTGCCCAGTGATGAGAATGTGAGTCACTGGTGACTTCTGAACCACAGCTGAGCCAAAGCCTCTTTACTTCACAGCACAGCAGCAAGGTCTGCACCAGTGTTTGAACCATAGAGCAGATTTTTGGGAAGACATTTCCCAGCTGTGTAAGAGAAGCCTGAACTTCAGAAGCAGGTGTTCAGCATTTCCTGAAACACCTCCTTGTGAAGCCCACACATCCCCAAGGAGGAGAGGCAAGCAGGGCTCCATCCTCCTGCCACTCAGATAAACCTCTGCAATAGTCCCAGACCCAGCTTATTTTGGCTACTTTGCTTTGAAGAGCCTTTCTGGAAACCCTCAGTGCTGAGGCTGAGGACTCAGCCAGGATGTGCCGTGCCCTGGCAGCTGCCTCACCTGGTAGTGAGCCCAGCACGCTTCCCACATGCGCAGCGCCTCGGCCTCCGGGAACTCCCTCTTGAAGCAGAGCAGGATCCAGCGGTGGCAGAAGAGCATCTGCAGCCCGTCCTCTCCCAGGGCACACAGGTGCTGGTGGAAGCGGGGGTGCATCAGCCGCAGCAGCTCGCGCAGGTACAGCTGCAAAACACACCCGGGCTGGCTGGAGAGCTCTTCTCTCCCAGCTGCCACTTCACAAGAAGGATGGTTGTAACTGCTGGAGTACCTCAGTCACCCAGGATCAATTCTACCCACCAGGTATTTCCATAGAATATCCTGAATTGGAACTGATCCACAAGGATCGTCGAAGTCCAGCTCCTGGCCCTGCACATGGCAACCCCAAGGATCACCCCAAGGATGTAGTGGCTCTGGAGTGTGATTTGGAATGCTGGACCCCTCCAGCTCAGGAACAGGGGAGAGGAGAAGCCATGACAAGGCTGAAGGGAGCCCAGCACTCAGCCTCACCAGCTGCTTCTCCATGTCCTCATCCCGGGGGGAGCTGATGAAGATCGTGTTCTGCATTAACCCAACAAAGCACCAGAAAGTATCCGACTCGTCCAGAACCTCTGCCAGGAGTGGGGCAACCAGGTCAGACATGCCCTGGGAGTATCCAATGGCTGGGTTAAACACTGCATAGTTCAGCAAGATCCTCCTGGAGCAGAGACACAAATGCAGAGGGGACAGGTGAGGGCAGGTGACAGCATCATCTCAGTGACAAAGACACAGGGCCTCATGTAAGGTGCTATAACACAGACAGGGAAACCCTGCTGCAAAACCCAGTCCTGTGGCATAAACTTCAGAAAAAGGTTTGGCATTCACAGGCAGCAAAATATAAACAGAAAATGAGAATTTAAAAATATGAGGAGGACAGAAATGAATGGCCCATGGGAAAGGAGAGATGATGCCCAACACATCCATAAACCTCCAAGCCATGCTGTTGGATGAAACCCAACTCTTTTGAGATCACACCTTTACAAGTCACACTGTCATGGAGCAGACTCTGGTGTGCTTGTCCTCTACCCCACCAGGAGAACCACAGACCCAAGCACCTGCCCACAGCCCTACCACAGCACCTTTGCTGTGCCCGTGTGTGCAGGGAAGCTCAGAGTTGGGAGCAGGGTTATAGGACTGAGAAGGGAACTACAGCAGCAGTGGGAGCACTGGGGAAGTCCTTGCTGCTGCATCCCGTGGTTGCAGAGGCACGGTGGGTGCTGTGCAGCATTCCCAGGCAGCCGGGGCTGGGGGCTGACTAACATTGAGCAGGACATGGCTTTTAGGACACTGGAATCAGACACTTCACCTCATGGTCTCCACATTTGGGTTGTCCTCCCCTCGGAAGAACTGGTTGCTGCGGTCGGTCCTCACGACGTCCTTGTCCACCGTGAACTGCACCTGGCGCCAGAAATCCTTCTGCTCATCTGGAGTCATGGACAGCCTGCACACCACACAGCAACAGCAGAGAGTTGCCAAGAAAGGAATGTGATTGCCACAAGGAACAAAAAGCCTCATTTCAGTCTTAGTTTGCAGAGAAAAACTATTCCTGTACCGAGTTTCCTCAGCACCTGAAAAATAGACCAGCAGGTCTGTCCAGAACAGTGGATTGTCTGTCCCAAGGGATTACTGGAAGGAGCCTCCTGGGTTATAAACAGGATGACATGATGTGTTTGCTGCAATAAACACTTCAAAAGCATCAGACTCTGCTCTCCACTGCCCCTTGGAACTCAGCACATCAGAACTCACCACTCTGGTTTGATTGTCTCCTGATTATTAACAGTACTGTGCCCCTCCAGCTTCAATGTACCCCCCTCCATTTAACAACACACAAATCTTTCATTAACAACCTTCTGGAATTACATAACCCTTCTCATCCCTTATTTTTATGTACATTTTATTCATAAAGAAATAAAAGATCCCAATTTTACCTTCAGTGTTCTAACCCAAGCCTTGCCTGGGAGGTGTTTCCCTGCATGGCTCTCACAGGGCTGCTCCCAGAGCCCAGGTAAGGAAATGTCTGAGCTCTGTGGAGTTGGCTCCAGAGCCTCAGCAGTGCCCAACACCTCCTTCCCCATCCCCGCCGCTCCTCTACTCCAGCCTCTCCTCACGCAAGGATGCAGAGACTGAGGTGTCACTGTGACATCCAGCCCAAGGAAGATGAGCAGGGGAGGATGATGATGGTCTGTTACCTTTTCTCCTGGATCTCAAAGTATTCTTTCCTCTTCTGCAGCCTCAGTGCCTCTCTCTCTTCAGAGGTGGACTCGTAGCTGTAGTAGTGCAGCAGAAAGGGCCACACCTCCCCACGGATGGAAATATCAATCCCACCAAAGAAAATGGCCTGGAAGAAGGAGCAAAAGTTATGGCTGGTACAGTTTCACATTCTCAAAAACAGCAACAGGCAACTGCCCGCTGCTGTGCTTTGGTGCCTCTGCAGCTCTTTCCTGACAAGTGACGCCTTGATTCAAGCTCCTGCAATTTGCACATGTTTAGAGGGAAAGTGCTGGCCCTCTATTCCCAGACCAGACACAAATCAGGCTCATTTCAATGTCAATAACCACCCCCGGAGAGGCTCTATGATTAACGTGTCGTTCTCATGTCACGGCTTAATCCCAAATCCTGGAGACACTACACTGCACTGCAAACTTCTCTCTCAGGGCCCGGGCCCCGTGCTCCCCTCAGCCCTGTTATTTCATACAGCAATCTCAGCTCATACAATCTCACTTCATACAATCTCAGCTATTTCAACCATCTCAGCTCTTTCAGCAATCTCCAGTGCTCTCTGTGACTTGGTCACACATTCTGCAAACACAGCAGGCACTGGACACTTTGGTTTATTGATTCCAAACGGCAGCAGAAGTGGGACAGCTCCTCGGTCAGAGTCACAGAGTCACACCCACCACAGAGTCACAGAATTGTTAGGGCTGGAAGGGACTCTGGAGATGCCCAGTCCAACCCCCCTCGCCAAGGCAGGGTCACCTAGAGCAGGGGACACAGGAACACGTCCAGGTGGGAATCCAGTCCTCCAGCCAAGGCTTCACTCAGGTCTCCCTCCTCCCAAAAGCCCAGCTCTTGCCCTGGCAGGAACACAAACTGCTGCAGCTCCCCTGGGGACCCGCACTCAGCACAGGAGAGAACACAGGAGAGCCCCTCACCTTCCTCAGCCTGTACTCCTCCTCCACCTGGCCGGCCTCGTTGAGGTGGTGCAGCCAGGCTGCCACGTCCAGGCGCCGCTGGGAGTTCTCCTCGGGGTGCGTCTCCGAGGAGGGCAGCTTGGGGCGGCGGATGGAGAACTGCATGCAGGTTTTCTCATCTGCAAGCTGCTGAGGGGGCAGAACAAACCACAGCTGCAGCAGGAGCCAGGGAGAGCAGCACAGTGTGAAACGCAGAGCAGGGAAACCTCTGCATGCTTCATGTAGGATTAAGCACTGAGGAGCTGCACTTGGGAAGGTTTTGTTGGCTTTTTTTTTTTTTTTTAATTCCAACCATTGCAATAACAAGAGTGATTAGAATAATTAAAATCCACCACGAAACAGCTTAATCTTAAAAAAAAATAGTTTCCATTCCTCCTCCAATCTTATCCCTGACCTGAAACTGAATTAATGCTGCTTACAGCAAAACTTGCCCCTGCCAGGAATGCCTGCAATAAATTACATATGATTGGCCATATACAAAGGGATTGCTGTTAGGAGAGCGGGGAACTGCGCTGCCAGGCTCTCTGAGGGCACTCAGGATCCCAGTGCAAGGCTGCAGCTGACATTTAATTTAAAAATCAAAGGTTGCTCAATGCAAAAAGTGAGCCCATGCGACCGTAATAAGAAAAGCAGCGGGGGGCTCTGTGGGAAGGATGGAAATTTAAAAATCACTGTTTCTAATAAGCACATACAATATCTTAAACAGATAATTAAAGAGCTCTTATCACATTTGTATGTAGATTGAACAAAATATGGCAAGATGCCTTGTCAAAACATTCTCCAAATGGAATGTTATGCATCACAAGATGGATGAAAGGCTCTGACACAATTTCCAACCTATCTCTGCAGATTTCCAGACACCTTCTGTGCCTAAAGGACAGCGCTGACCTGTCAGGCCCATCAAAATCACTAAGTAAATCTTCTGGATGATCTTCCCCCATATTGCACAGGTAGAACAGGAATGGATGGAGACAGACAAGTCCGAGAGACACCTTGAGTCCAGTTTGCATTTCCATCCTAAACACCCAGCATCTGGCAGCTTCCTGCCTGACCTGGTGACATGAACTCAAAGCCTCATTTCTCCAGCACACCAACCCATGTGTGAGACACGTGGCCCCAAGAGCCTGGCTCAGGTACCTGGTCCTTGAGATGTGTCTCTGTGCAGTACTTCCATTGCTGAAACACTTCGGACAGTTTATCCAGGCCACCGTGGTGAAAATGGAAGATCTTGTACTGGCTCTCCCTGCTTGCCACCACCAGCTGCCCACAGGTACATGCCTCATCACTGTGGGAACAATGGAGAGCAACCTGCAGGGGTCACCCAGCACCACGAGGGACCAGCAGAACCCTCGGGGAGAGACAGTGCAGAGCAAGTCACAAAGTGCAACACCAAGCTGCCCCATAAAACAGGGCACAGAGGCAGCTTTACATCCCTGGGACTCACTGATCCTTACGGGTCACTTCAACTGAGACACTTCATGATTGTGTGACATGGTCATAGTGACAATTTTCTCCACTTGTGCCTGGTAACAGCACTATTTTTACCCTTCCTTCACATGAAGGATTTAAAATTTGTCTTCCCTGGAGGAAAAACCACAGGAAGTCTGCCCCAGAAACATTAAGGCAGTACACAAAGTCAGCTCCTAGGGATGTGTAGACTTGCTCGCACACAGCTCTGTCCAAAGAAACAGGGAGTGAGAGCAAAAAAAAGGGAGTAAAAATGTTTTTGCAATGATTTGAAATAAATTTTGTAATAATTTGAAAGATAACTGAGGAGGCTAAGAGCAGCAAGACTCCAGAGGAGCCTGGTGAGGGGCAGGCAAAAGAAAAGGTACCATAGATAAAGATGTTTTTCATATCCCCAGGTTATGTGAAGCATTTATGGTATGACAGCTAAGAGCAACCTTTACTTTACTAAAAATAAAATCCTTTTGACTCTGTAGCTGTAATTCAGAGGCTCTCCTTGGGAAGGCTGACACTCACTTTCCTGGAGACAATTGTTCTGGAAAGGCTTCCAGGTAGGATTGCAGAAATCACCTCTGCCCAGAGCCCCAACATGGAGCATGCGCAGCTCACACACAATTCACACAACTCACACACAGCTCACACATAGTTCACACACAATTCACATGATTCACACAGCTCACACACAATTCTCACACAGCTCACACACAATTCACGATTCACACAACTCACACACAATTCTCACACAGCTCACACACAGCTCACACACAACTCACACAATTCACACAACTCACACACAGCTCACACAAGGATCCAGTACCTGAAGAAAAGGCGAAGGGATCTCATTTGTCCCAGGTCTACTCTGAAGACACCACACACCTGCTCGAGGGCAAATACCTTCTGCTGTTCATCCCATCTGGTGCTCTGCGTTTGCCCATTGTTCTCCTGGGACTGGGCACTGGTGTCCAGGCTGGAGGCAGAGCTGGTGGAGCAGGTCATGCGATTGTCACACGTGTCCCTGTGGACAGAGCGTGGGGACAAAAACCCCATCAGCCATGGGAGGCTGTGGGTACATGCAACAATCACAGATGCTCCATGTTAAAAACCTTTAGTCAGAGTTCTGAAACTGGCATTCATTCACCAACTACATTATTTAAATTAATCCCTACCATCCCAAAAAGCATCCTGCTGTTGGCCTTTTCCTAAAGTTCTTGCATGTAGAACTGGGGAGAGCCAAACTCATTCCTCAAAACATCAACTTTTGAGAAGGTAAAATGAAGAAGCTCAAGCAATGCCCTCAGTGTCCAGCTCAGCCACTCAACATCAGGATGGGAACAGGAGGAATGAGAACATTCCAACAGCAGCGTGGACCTGAGATCTCATCTGGGAAATTGCCTCTTTGACCAGTAAGATCCAAAGATGTTTCCCCTGAACTTGAGTTTCTCATTACACCTCTGCAAGAGGACCTGCCAAGACTGGATTCATGTCTATAAACTCTAGACAAATGGTTTCCACCTGCAGTCTTGAACCTTGGCAGAGTTAGGATTAGGAAATCACACCTGAGTTCTTCAATCCACCATAAAGTAGAGAAAGTGAACCCAACCCTTTCCCAGTCCACCCCAGATCTCCAGCTTTAAATGCAAACTGAGTTCAAACTCAAAAAGCCCCCATTTCCCCACCAGCCCCCATCCCAAAGGAAAAATATCAGTGCTTTGGGAATTAAGTGAATGTGAAACTGTGACCCTTGGCTCGTAAAAAGGCCAATGCACGTGAACAATCTCGGCGCGGGCTCTGAATGGGCTCTGCTGTGAAATTGGGGTTTGCCAGACAAGGCCCGGAGCAGGTACAAAGCAGCCCCCTGCAAGGCCACTTTATGTGGTGTTTTCTAATCCTCTTATCCAACAATGTGGGCACTGAAGGCTGGAAATCACACACTCAGCATGCACTTCACATCCGTGTGCCTCCCGCGCCTGGCTCCAGGGCCTCTTCCACAGGAGCAGCAGAGCAGCAGCGCCCTACGGGCCAGGGCAGCACATCCCGAGGGACAGGGCTCTGGACAGCCCAGCCAGCTGGGTTCATTTTCATCCCAGCCCTGCTCCAGTGTGTGGCTCAGCTCTCCCAGCCCCTTCCTGCTCCTGTGGCACTGGAGGAGACCAAGGCTGGTTGACTCTGGCTAAAGGAGCAGCTCCATGGATCTCTGGGAAGTTCTGCTGCTTCGGTTTTTGGAAAGAAAGCAGCAAAGCAGAACTCACACTCAGGCCATTTGGTGGATGAGGACTCAGAAGGAAGGTGGCAATAAGGGTCACACCATACATCCAAACTCACTCCAGGTTAGACAGGATACCTTTGACCACAGGCACAGCTGTGCACCATCCCCTGCCTTGGGGATTTTTCCATGAAGATTGTACTGGCCTTTATGAAAAATCAAGCATTACTTTCTGATACGGTGGCAAAATGTAACACTTTCTAAAACACTGAGTATCTAACATTAACACAGATGTAACAAGAGTCCTGGTACAAGACACTTGGGCTGGACTGCCTGCTAGGAGCAGCTGGTATTTATGGAGCAACACTTCATAACAGCCACAGCTGGTTACACAGGATTTTCCTGGAAGAGATGACTCAAACTAACTCAAAGATTAAGCAGAGGCAACCCATTTTCTAATGGCAAAAGGGCTGGACGATGGGTTGGTGTGAGGATCATGTGGGTCGTGGTCACAGAGGTCCACATGCCAGATCTTCAAGAACATCATCTGAAATGACCAGCAGAAATGTCCAGAGAACTGCCAAGAAATGAGTTACCACTAGAGCTGGCTTTGATGCTGGGCATTCCATAGCTCTTCAGCGCACACAGCATTTCCAGCTGCAGTTCCCTGTGCTCCAAACCCCAAATGTGCCCCAGATGCAGCTGCAGCCAGCTGAGACCCGCGGGCAGGAGAGGCCGGGCACAGCGCTGGCACTGGGGGAACCTCCGGAAATGCTTCTCCAAGACAAATGTTTACAGTTCCCATGCAGCCACCGGCGACAAGCTCGCACACGCATCCCGGGCACAGCAGCTCCTGTGTCAGGGGTTCAGCCCTTGCAGGCAGCAAGAAGCACCAGGGGTGAGCGGAGTGCCTCAGCCTGCGCAGCCCGGGGAAATTCCGATGGTCTCGCTGACGTAGAGGGTGAAATCTGAAAGAGACACCTGTGCCCTCCCTGCCCTTCACAGGGGTCAATGGACACAAACATTCACACTCAGGACAGATCAGAGACAGACCCACCTCGTGCTGGTGCTGGCTGAGTCACTGGGGAAATTTGGAAAAAACCCGCACTGTGTCTAAAATTACTTTTTCCTGTACATATTGATTGAAAGAAAAATTGAAAATACTGTAATCTCTGGATTACTTTTAAATAAAATTTTAATATTGAGATCATTCTGTAGGTCAGTAACAATAAGCAGTATGATCTCTGCTAATTTTGTGGGGTCTGGGGAGTCCTTTAACTCAAGATAGACAAATGCAGGGGAAGAGTTTATTGTTTGTCAGACTAGTCTATCTGTTGGATGAGGAATGTATCCCAGAGCACCCCATAAAAGCAGGAGTTGAAGCACTGCAATGCAAATAGCCAGAGGAACATTCCAGAGAGACTTTGGGTTGTGGGATCCAGGAAAAAACAGAGCACCAACTAGTACACAGCACTGGTCAGCAAAACAACAAGTGCAGTGGGGCACAGGAATAAAAGGGACAGGTTAAAAAATCAAGGAGGATTAGAAAACCTGGGTCAGGAAAATATGGGCCATGTTCATGTGTTCAGTTCAAGAAGGTCATGGAGGGGCTGGAGCGTGTCCAGGGAAGGGAATGGAGCTGGGGAAGTGGCTCAGCCTGGAAAAAAGGAGGCTCAGGGGGGACCTTCTCATTCCCTGACAGAAGAGTGGAGCCAGCCAGGGGACAGGACAGAAGGAAACAGCCTCAAGTTGTGCCAGGGGAGGGTCAGGTTGGATATTGGGGAAAAATTCTTCATGGAAAGGGCTGTCAGACATTGGTACAGGCTGCCCAGGGCAGTGGTGGAGTCCCCACCCCTGGAAGGATTTAACAGCCAAGTGGATGTGGCACCTGGGGACATGGTCAGTGCTGGCCTAGGCTGTGCTGGGGAAACGATTGGACTCGTTGATGTCTGAGGGCTTTTCCAACCCAAACGATTCTGTGATTATGGGATTCCACTTCAGCCTTTTGCCCTCCACCCTTGTCTCAAAACACATCCCATTCCTGCCAGGGAGCAAGAACAGGGGCTGAGGTATTTTCTCCACTCAACAATCAACTACAGCAGCCAACCATATCCAAATTCCTGGAGCTTTTGTAGCCCCAAGGAGCCACCATTCCCCTCCCACCCCATGGGACCTCTTGCATGCCCCGCTGAGGAGCTCAGGTGAGACTCAACCTGCAGCAGTGGGACCCAACTCACTGTTCCAAAGCCCTGGAACACACCTATGGCACAGAGAGAGCTAAACCCAATTATTATTTCTGTTCCAGAGACCTGCCCTGATTACCTGGGAAGCCAATTTCAGCAACAAAGACCTAATAACTCATTTTACGATGTGATGTGACAAAGGTAATTACGAGAGAGAAAGGGGCTGAAGGCTGCAGCCATGATGTGGCAGTTACCCAAGCTGTCAGCCTGCACCACCTGATTCCCAGTGAGCCTCCTGCTGGAGCCAAGCCCTGCTGCTGGAGCTGGCTCTCCATCACCCCGGCGCTAATGCACGCTGTCACTAATAACAGCTCCCACAGCCCCAGCATTCCTGCACGCCGGCTTGGGACCATCATTTACAGACAATGAGTATCATCATAATGTATGAGCATCCATGTAATGGGAATTACATGCCCCTTTTCCTCCCCAGGGGTTAGCATTTCTCTGTTTCTCCACTATTCCCCACAGGCACTGACCTTCTGGGTTCCTCTTCTTCCCAGCAAGGTGAAACAGCTCCTGGCAGCATCAGCTGCTAAGACAGACAGCTTCAAACAAATAATCCACCAAGAAGAGTTCAAAGCTGTCCTGAAATGCCTAAAAATTTAGTGCAGTGGTTGTACAGAGTAAGGTAATACTGAGTATCTGGAACCCAAATCCATTGGTCTGATAAAAAAAAGTGTCCTTGACAATATACATATATTATAAACTGAAACATGCTGAATTCAGTGACACAAAAGACATGCAAAGGAAACCAGACTGGTAATTTAGGATTAAAAAAGAGATGCTGAAATGTGTCTGCTTGCTCTGCAGAACAGGGCTGGAAAGACACTCACAGGACAGCACCAGCTTCCCACGGAGTGTGGCACACAGAGCCAGCCACAGGCAGGGAAATGCTGCTGTCACATTCTGACCAGCACAGACGAGTAACCAGGTTAAGAACTGTGTTAAAGCCACCCTTTGGCTGAAAACATTTAGAACTTGAAGTTTCTGTGCCTTAGAGAACCTCAACAGAATCGATTTCCATTGACAATGGTGACTGGGGAACAAGGTGTTAGATAGCCTGGATTTAGAAAGCCTAGCCAGGATTTCTAAAATTAAATATCAAAGCATCCTCACGTGGAAGCATTTCTATACATTTGCAAACACCTGGGAAACAAATCTAACAATTCCTCCTATTTGTTGGGGAAACCTGGAAAAACTACTCAGGCTGTTACAGTACAAAGTACACTGATATCAACGTGCACTTTCCAAGAGCTTGTTCCACAGGCTTTCCATTGATCTGTTTGCTTTCAAAACATAAATTTCCCCACGTTGAACTGCACTAAATACTATTTAGTAGCTAATTAACTTTCTGTGCTGAAAACCTCCTGTAATTGCACTTCTTTCACCTTTTTGAGCCCGTGTCCCCCGGGGAACCCAAGCTGTCCTACGGCATTTGTTCTGCTCGTTTCTATCTCACAGGCACAAGTTCCTCCCTGACACCGGGCTGCCAATCACGGCGCCAGAGGTCACTGGAGACCAAATTAGGAGCACTCTGCCTCTGACAAACTTGCTTCGCTTAGCTTGTTG